TGATGTCCTCTTCGAGAACAAAGGACAATCCACATCTCTAAACAGTGACAAGCAATCTAACATCTACTCCCTTTTTCCCTTTGTATATCTATCTGTAACACACTCCAACCTATAAAGAAGGACAGTAGCTTTTCCAGGGTTTATTGATAAAAGTGAATATATTAATTCAGAAACAATATTGCAAAGTAAGCTCATTAGAAGTAAGTATACAAGAAAACAATCTGATTTCAGGATTTTCAGCTTCCTAAATAACCTTACAATCAATTTCCTCAGTCCTGGTTTGGCCCATTACCTTTCTTAGGTTAGAAGGGCCATGCTGTTGAATCTTTGGAGGTTTCCCTTGTGACTTCTAAAGACAGTGGCACCTTCTCCCAAGAATACTCCATCTCCTGATGAATTGCCTCACTTTAGAATTTAAGATCAAAGCACTACCAGCTGAGGGACAAGAAAGAGAGTATGCCTGGATATGCAGAATAACCATAACACCATAAACCACATTGAGACTCACCACCATATTGCAGATATGTAGGAACTCTATATACTGTTACTGTTGCAGTATCATTAGGCAAATTTAATGAGATATAAGTATATAGGTAAAGTAATATTGCAAATTTCTTAAATTACAATGAGAATTTACTATTTAAATTATAATGCTAAAGTTTTAGGATCTTCTTAGAGATGATTAAAAACTCAAATTAGCAAGCAATGTGGTCATGACAATCAAAAATTCCATTTTTCCTTGACTCAAAGCAGAGAGCATTTTAGCAGTAAGACAGAGGCAGACCCAGTCTTAAACCTGGACAAATTTCTTTCTTCCCCTTTCTCTTCATGGGTTTTTTTTTTTTTATAAATTAAGGCCCAGGCTTCCAACCTACACTAATTTCCAAGGTGCCTTGGGTCATATTATCCATTTTTTGATGGTGCCAAATGTCTACTCAGTGGTTACTCTCTATTAATCTCCATTTGAAACTCTGTAAAAAAGACACACAAAGCCTTTCCTACTTCTACTATATTTTAAATAGACAAAAAGGTTTTAAACACAAGCAAGCAGAAAATAAAGGACTCAATTTATACTTGTAAAAATAGCAAACTAAATTTTATGTTAATTTTTGTAGCAAATCTCTCTCTGCTTCCCCTCCACAAGCCTCCCCCCCAACCCCAATTAAATGATGTCCAAATTTTTTTCTTCCTAAGGAAGCTAGGTTTCTTTTCATATCATTTTAATTTATTTATAAATCAAATATGCTTAAAGTAGGTATGTTTTATTGAGTTCTCAAGAGTCTCCTGGATGACAAACCTCAAGCTAAAACTCCTTAAGTGATTATGTAATTCCAGAGTTGCAGGCCACTGGGAATTTACTATATAACCCTGACAAGGATAAAAGGAGGATTGAATTATTAATGTTTTCCTTTTTTTAAAAAAAATACACAAGTAAAAGGCACTTACTCTGAAAGCTGTTCACTGAAAAGACACGGGGATGATAGAATCCTGCTTTGCAATGGCACTTATAGGCTCCAAGCACAAATCCAAGGCCTTTAATTGGTATGCACTGTGGGAAAGAGAAAGAAAGCAAAGCAGATGATCATAGTGTTTTTATGGCATAAGAATACATCTATTTCCACTCCAGCAAACATAAACAATGCAGAATTTTTGGAAGGTGGAGCATTTATTTCTTATTTTATTTCTTATTTGACTTTGTTTTGACATTTATCCAATGATCTTTACCTGGAACCACTGTATTTTGTTTCCATTCTGGAAATTTTGCTTTCATATAGCTGACATGAGGAGATGACTTCTTTCTTAGTTTGAGATTTCACCAATTCCTTCTGTAATCAAGAGAATTGTCCTCTCTCCCACCTAGCTACTGAATGTCCCTAAGTACATGGCACCTCTGTTTCTATTTATATCCAGAGGCAGCATGAACTAGGTTACAAACTTTAAGATTTAAAAGGTAAGAAGTGGTCCCCCAAGCAGCCTTGGTAAGTAGCAGAGATCACTAGAGTTGAGCAAGAGCTAAGTCCCTTAAGGAGGCAACCTTAAGAAATGACCACCTTGATCCAGTTCAACAGTGGATTAGCCAGTTAATTGAGATACTATGTACTATAAAAAGGTGAACCAGCACAGTAGTATTCCATCACAATCATATGCCACAACTTGTTCAGCCATTCCCCAGTTGACGGGCATCCCTATTGTTTTAAGAACAACTTTGAGTAAATGAGTTATTTTGTCTATTATAATTACCCAAATTAACTATAAAAGACATAAGAAGAAAAGAGACTATTTGTATCCAGAGAAAGAACTGAAAAATAGAAGTATGTATAGAATAATTTTACATATATATACACATATGTGTATGTGCCTATTTCTGTCTAGTGGTAGCCATGTCTAGGGCATAAGGGGAGAAAAAAGGGAAAAAAAGAAATGTATATGATAATTTTGTTGTATATTTGAAAGGAATAGCAAGTTGTGCATAGTAGATTTGCAGTTTCATGTGCAATCATATTTTTTACTATACTATGTTATGGTTGTTTTATTCCATGAATTGATAATAAAATATAATAAGAAGCTAGACCAGCCAAGCAAGGGAACAACTTGTAGATTGACTGCTGGAACTGTACTAGAAGTATAGTTGGGAGAAAAAAGAGGAGAAAAAGGAATTTCTAGGAACAGGATTTGTTAGCAACTCTTTGGTCCCACAACTTCTTCCCAGATGTATCTGGCTACATTTGGCCTTTAAGTATGAGCCCACCATTCTCAAGAATCAAATTGTGAATAGGAAAGAGAATGTACTTGGTTTGAGAAATATATTTGTTACTTCTGTCCTTGTCATACCTTCTCAGTTAATATCCTTTTGTAAAAGCTAATTGATACCAACTGGATAATCATATTGGGAAAAGTGCATTGGATGGGGGCTCATGGTTGATTAGAAATCCAGGTTCCTCAGAGTTATCCAATGACAGAACTCTGAGGGAAAAAGTAGACAAACTGCTCTCTGGGAATCTAGTCCATCAGAAAAAGGGGGAGTTTGACCAACAGACAAAAGGATGCATTACCCTTCATACAGAGAGAAGATACATTCTCGAAGTTAATACTATTTATTTATTTGTTTGCTTATTTCTAAGAATTATTTGTGCATAGGCAGGTAAAGCCATGCCTAATCAGTTGATTACATGATAAGGATTAAGAAATCAAAGTTACAGCATCACCTGGGGCCATCTCACTCTGGAACATCTCTCTGCCATACCAGTCTCCTACTATAGGTGAGGTATTCCTGAGCTTTCATTTTAGGGAGGGGTCTAGGACAGCCAACTCCCATTTGCCCTCTAAGCTCTGCTTCTGACTTTCCAAACTTCAATACCATGTGCCTGCACAGGGATCTTCTCCCACCTAATCCGACTTTTTAATTCTTGTTTTGTGTATTGTCTCCCCTTCCCCTTAGAATATAAGCTTCCTGAGAACAAGAACTGCATTTCTTTTTGCTTTTATTTTATCCCCAGTGCTTAATGTAATGCCTAGAACACAGTAAGTATTTAGTAAATATCTGTTTCCCTGTTGTCTTGCTGCCCTCCTTTGATGTAACCAATCCAAACTGAAGGGACCACAAATTGAGGGGCACTATGGCACAGGGGAAGGAGCAATGGATTTGGATTCAGAGGACATCAGTTTGAACCCTGTCTTTAGTTATGTGACCTTGGGCAAGTCCCTTTACTCCTCTTGGCCTCAGTTTTCTCATTTGTAAGATAAGGGTATTGCGCTAGTTTTACCTATGGGTTACTTTCTAGCTCTACATCTAAGACCCTATGATTCTATGGCTGAGATTATAAAGTAGAGAATAAGAAAATCAACAAATGTTGATTTTAGTGCTAAGTTTAGTTGATTTAGGTGCTAAGAACCTAATGATAGCTTTGAAGTTTACAAAATGCCTTCCTCATAGAATTCTTGTTAGGGAAGCAGTCTTAATTAGTACACAAAAGCAAAAAGAATAGCTCTACTACCCAAGCATAAGTGATCCACATTAAGACATAAATTCTCCAGGAAAGACAACTCATTGCTTACAAAACTTGGGAAAGCTGGTGTTTTGAAAAGAATATTGGCTTTAGAAAGAGGAGTCCTGGATGAAGTCCCAACCCTGCTACTCTGTAATCCTAGGGTAAATTATGGCACCTCTCAGTTTCCTAGTCTGAAAAATCCCTTTTAGCGCTAAATCCTGTAATAAAATGGAGAACAACATCTGTAATGAGCTATCAACAGAAATGGCAAGTTTCAGAGAACTGAACCTACCACATCTGGATTCTGATATATCAAAGACCTAATCAATTCACATCTACAATGTGTAACAATAAAAATGAACAAAGACTGCTAAACAACATGGTCAGTCTATGCTCCCCTCTCAACCATACCCCTAGCCCCAGTGACCACACAATGTTAATATCCTTCTTAAAATATTGGTAATCTAAGAAAATTGAATAATATACATGTGGTCTGATCAGTTCACAATAGAGTGAGATATCAGCCCTTGTTCTAGAGATTTTCAAATTTTAATTGTGTTGTTGTTGCTGTTGTTTAAATGTCTCTATATAATGACTACCCAGGCTACTGTGCCATTTCCTGTGCCATAGGTTGCTAACCCCTGGCATACATAATTTACAACAGCATAGTCTAAGAACTATCAATCAGCCAGATTCATGTGGAGATACTAATGAACCACAAAATGACTAGGAGGGAGTTGTTACAAGGAGAAGAAAAAGTAAAGTCTGGATTCTCTACAAATTGAGTAATCTGGCAAAATAGAAATGTCTAGAACTTCCCAGTACATATCTACCTGTTCCTCCCTGCTTTTTAAGTAATCAGTATTTGGCTATCAATAAACTCCAACTCATTTCTACTACTCCCAAATAAATGAACTCCCATAACAAACAGAGGGACAAATAACCATCCTCAAAGCCACACTATATTGGAGTGAGCCATGGTCTCTGCTGCTGCACTAGGCTAATTAACTATGCCTTGATGCTTTTGCATATGGAGAGCAATAATATAGAGATAATGTCACGAAAACTACAAGTTGTGAACAGCTGGGTCATTATTAGCACAGTAGGAGAAGCCAGGCAACTGAAGTTCAAGGAGAGGAGACGAAGGAATAGGTAGACTTTCAGATATTAGGAAGTTCTAGATGCTTCCACTTTTGGTGTTGATCTTTTGGACATAATACTAGTCCACAGGGATTTTTAGCTGTCAGAGAAAGAAACATGGTTGAGAATAAAATATGGACTTGGGTAGAGAAGGAAAGAAGAAAAGAAGGAAGGAAGGAAGCAGGAAGGGATTTATAAAGCATGTGCTATATGCCAGGTACCACAAATATTATCACATTTGACTCTTCATCAACCCTGGGAAGTAGCTGCTATTATTATCCATTATGCTATATTATTATACAGTTGAGGAAACTGGGGCAGACAAAGTTAAGTGAGTTGCCCAGGGTCACATAGATAGCATGATTTGAATTCAGGTCTTCTTGAGTCCATAGAATTCTATCTACTTCACCACCTAACACACCTCAATGGGTGGTTGTGGTTGTGGTTTGTCCTTCGTTCTTGAAGAGGATCATGATATCAGAGAGATGATGACATGACTTGCACTTGAATTGGATTTGAGTGACGGAAGGCTGTGCAAAGTCTCACTTTCTCCTTCAGAGCCATCTGGGTCCAGTGGCCAGATATCCATCAGGATGACTGGAGATGGCCCAACATACCTCAATGAGGGTCCAGGTAGAGGTCCTTAGTCACTTTTACTTTTGCATATGTTACAACCTTTGGGGAAGGCTTCAGGAAGGCATACTCTATGTTCTTACAACCTCTGATTAATAGGCTATCTCCCTGCCAAAGCAGCACTGGATTTTGGACATAAAGACAAAGAACTGAAATGGAGGAATCTGACAGGTCACCTTTACGTAGCATTTTATAGTTTATAATGCAGATTCCATACATTATTCATATGAGCCTCACAACAACCCTGTAAGGGAGGCAGGGCAGGTACCATCCACTTTTCACAGAGAAGGACAAGAGTCCCAGAGAAGTTAAGTGGCTCACTTAAAATCACCTAGCAAGTAAGGAGGAGGAGCAGGACTCAATTCCACATCTGACTTGAAATCCAAGGCTACCTCGGCTATTTCCTTCATTTCCCACACATTTCACTAGGTCTTTCTATGAAATGAACAAAGGGCTATATCAGCCCCTCCCCATTTCAGAAACTAGTGATGTAATAGACAATTGATAAGGTGGCAGGTAACCTTGCTATAGTCTAGTTCCTCTAGAAAGATTTATCAAGGGATTGTTTTTGAATCTGTTTCAAGCCATTCTAGAGAATAAATACCATAGTTTCCAAAATCAAGTAAAAGTTCTAATCAAGAACAAAACTGTATATCCAGTCATATGTAATATCTTCTTAAGTTTCCCTTCTGACCAAAAGGACACATTTATAAAGCCAAAAAGAGAGGAGCCACTAATCTAAAGACCCAGACCCATGGGCGTAGTGATGCAGAGGGACAGAAAGCTC